TCATCCCAGGAAAGCAGGGCAGCAGGGCTGCCCCGGTCCTTCCCCAGGGTTGAACCCCAGAGCCGAGACACAGCTTGGAGAGCATAGAACCCTTGAGTGGAAAAGGCCCTTCCAGAATAGAGGTTCTCTGGAGGCTGGGCTGTGGGTGAGGAAGGACTGTGGCCTAAGAACTTAGTCACACATGGAAGGCAGGTTTGAGCCTGGGCTATGGCAGTGCCTCAGAGAGCAGGCAGGTGGGTGACTGTGTCCAGCCTTTCAGCCTCTCTGAGCCACACAGTCGTTCACAAAGCTCGTCCTCAAGAACAGTATGATTGAGTTCCAAAAAATTTACAAAAACTTCAGCTAGGTGTGGTGGAGCATGCCGTTAATCCCAGTACTTCAAGAGTTCCAGGCCAGCCAGGACTAAACAGAGAAGCCCTGTCTTTAAAGAAAAGAAAAAAACTTAATTTACTTAAAACATCATGAGATTGTTTTTGAGTATTTTGTTCTAGGCTGCATTCATAGCTATCCTGGGCTGACTGGTCTAACCTCTTCTGCTCCTTCTGCCCTGATGTTAGGCCATCTGTGATAGCCCAGCCCTCCTCTACTGTTCTCCAGCCCTGAAGCACCTCTGTGCTTGAGTCTTGGCCCTGTAGTTGCCTACATTAGAAGCTTACCTGGGCCCCCAAACTCGCCCTTGTCCATACCCTTGCAGGACCTCTGTGGTCTGGTGCGGTATAGCCTGCCTTTGCTCTGGTTGTCGCCTGGCCCCATGTCCCATCTGCAGCCCATCAAGGGGTGGGCATGGACACCTGGCCAGCTCAGCGCTTGCTCCCAGTGCCCCTCTGGGCCTGGGCCAGTACTCCCCTGGCTCACTCTGGGGTCTCGGGAAGCTGAACCCTTCCTTCCCCAGGTGAGTGTGGTGCTGGACAGAGACCTTCCTTCCTGCCTTCCTCGTCTAGAGCCCTCTGGTGGATATGACTGGTATTGATGAGGAGAGGAAGATCGGGGCCAAGGGCAGGCACAGTGTGTGCTCGCCAACCCTCCCTAGGTGGGTAGCGCTTCTGTTTCAGGCCGTGCCTCCCCTCACCAACCATTAAAACAGGCCAGGGACTTTTATAAATGTCGCTGCTGTCCCCATCTCTGCCTCTTGGGCACAGGTGCTGCTGGGTGTGTTTGCACAGATCACCCCAGTGGCTCCTCCAGCTCCCCTGTGAGTGGCAGGAAATGTCTGGTCACCCCTTTTCCTGGTGCTGCAGTGACCGAGCCTCTGTGATGCTGCTCCGTTCTACTAGCAGGACACTGGTCTCATGGTGAGCAAGGGCTTGTGGCAACTGTGACCTGCCCTGCCTGAAAGGCCTAAGACTGTTGAAGGTCCTGGGCCCCCGGGAAAGTCCCCTACAGAGCCCCTGACAGTGACATCTCTTTCCTAGACCAGGCCAGCGGTACAGTTGCAATGACAGACTGTGCCCACCAGAGGGCACACTGCCCCACACTGCTCAGCTGAACTGGACTCTGCACACCAAATGCTTTTTAATTGAAAAATTTTTTTAATTCAAAAAGGATTTGCTGTTTGTACTCAAGTGCAGGTTTTCCTTATGCAGAAGACTAATGTCTTGAGTAAACAGATCTGGGCTCAAATCCACCTTCAAAGGTACTCTCTGTTTGCCCAAGGGAGTGAAAGGGCTTCCAGAAGCGGCCCTAGTCTCTTGGGCAAACATCTTGGGGACGAGGAATCCCAGGCGGAGGACATCGTCTGTGGGAAGGCTATCCGCAGCCTAAGGGGGATTATGTCGGGGGACATATGTTGAAATTTCATTTGGGGAATTAGGGAAAACAAGAGTGGGGGTGGCGACTCTTTCCAGCCAGGATAACCTAAAAAGGGAAAAACTCCAGGGAGAGGGCAGGGGACCAAGGGATCTGCGTGTTGTGTCGGCCCCCAGGGTCTCCATATGCGCGGGCTGTAGGGCAAGACAGGGCAAGTGTGCGCTTGCAGTTCCTCCCTGTGCTCTGTGCCAGGGTGCAAGAGAAATGGGAACTCAGATGGTGAACTAGAAGGCAAGTCCTTGCCCCTTCCAGAGACCCTCTCTTACTCCCAGCCACCACAGGCCTGGACTGCATGACCCCCACTTACTGAGGCCCCACTGCCTGGTCAGCCAAATGTCCCCCCCACAAACACACACTGCCCAGGAAGCTGTAGCTCCATCCACTTGCAGGTGCCCAGACCCAGACCCTGTCTCAGACTGAGTAGTCTGGAGGCAGGCCAACCAGACAGTACCAAATGAAGGAAGCACCACCGCCCTGGGGCCTGGCTTCCTCCTGCCCTGGGAGCCAAGCACGGCAGAGCACACTTCCGAAACAGCAGCAAGACAGTTCAGGCTGTCGCCAGCCCTGACCCTGCCGGTATCACGTCCCCTCACCTGAGAGACACTGCACCTCAGTCCTGGCTTTCAGAGTGGGGTACCCCACCCCTTTTGTCCTTGGTCCCTCCTTCCTGGTACCCATCAACCACCATGTTATAGACTCTGGCCCCTTCCACTCCTACCCTCCCCACATTATTCCCAGATTGTGTTGGTCACGGGATTGGTCAGGCTGGCTCTCAGAACTGACCCCAACATCCAGTCACCTCGAAACCACTTGAAAATGCACACCTCAGATCATCCCAGACCCCACCACCAGAATTACATCCCAGCTAACCTGGGGCTGGCGGCTCCCAGGTGAGGATCTGTGGCTCACACCAGGGTGTCGCCTCTCACCCTGCTCCAGGGCTGTGCATCCTGCTCCCAAGGGCTGCCAGTCCTTACCCTAAGAGCATAGGCCTGTCTTCTTGTTTTCTGAATGCATGTTCTTGTCACTATGGCCCCAGATACTTCTCAACACCTCCCACACACACACACACACATATAATACTAACTGTCTCTTCCCCTGGACACTCCTGGGGACCCTTTCCCAGCCACCAGCAAACCCAATGTCCTCTCCCCAGCCTGCACTTCCTCTGGTGTCCTGATGCTCCAGGCCCTTGTACCATTGGGAACGGCACCTGGGCCCTCCATCCCCAAGCCTGTACCATTAAGCCCCCCTGCTCCCCTGCCCTACCATGTTTTGCTCTTCTCTGGGAAAGGCCCATGCTCCAAGAAGTGCTCCTGCTTGAGTCCTGGGCCGTGTGGAAAGTTCCTGGGCCCCTCTGCTACCACCGTATGAGCCCTAGGCATAAAGGATTTCATAGAACTTATGCCTTTGCAATCCTGACCCGCACCCCTAAATGTTCCTTCTCCCACCCACTCACCGACACCCCAACCGCCAGCAGAGTAAGACCTGTAGGTGCTGATAAAGCCAACAGAGGCTCTAACATGCTGCTGTTCACTGACATGCACACACCTGAGCAGCCACCAGGTGGCAGTGTTGTGCTGACCATTGCCTGAAGCCTCTTGGGTAGCCCGCTGCCAGTAGCCTGATGGGATAGGTTAGCCTGATGGGACAGTGTACCTTCGAGGGTCACTAGAGGGCAGTGTTGTGGAGGGGGTGCTGTGGGATGCTCTGATGGGCTCCCCTCATAGCCACCAGATGTTTAGTTGGAAACTGCTTGCTACCAAGGATGGACCCATGCCACCCCTGGGATTAGAAGATCATACCTCACCTTAGAAGTGAGTCCATCAAGATCCTGGGCGGGGAGACCTGCCCGAGGGCTCCTGCAGCACCCGGCCCAGTCTCTGTCTACCCATCCTGGTAACAGATGCTGTGGGGCAGGCCGCACCGGGTTGCGGGTTGCGTGGGTGCTGTCTTGACTGGACCTCGGTCCCCAGCTGCTCTTCTTTCACCCTGCTGCCTGCAGCTTTCTTTGGGTGTGTGGTGAGGCTGGTCGGCCTTTACTGGCCAGTGCGCATGGCAGCAGGGCCATGGGGCCACACAGCCTGGCTGGGGTCTGCAGCTTCTCCTGCTACAGTTGCACCACGTTCTCTTCCACAGGCTGCATAGTAGGTGGGTGTCCTGCAGATTAGCCGAGTTCAAAGACAGCAGCTCTTCTCAGAGCTGCGTTCTGTTGGAAAGCCTTCTCAGGGCCTCCCACCACTCACCACTTCCGATTGATTGAACATGTCTGGCAACCACTAACCTAAACATCTCTCACTTAATGTTGCCAGGCTATCCCACAACCCCCCTCCACCTCTGTCAGGATAAGGGATCCTCCGCTGCTCCTCACCAATGGCCACATTGAATGTCTCAGCCTTCAAGTGAACTGCAGGGCCCCTCTCCCCACCCAAACTACTCGCTTCTTCTCAGAGTTTTCACTGGACTTGGAGCCTTTTACTTCCAGCCCCTACAGAATTGGGGTCTCCAGTGCAAGAGTTAATAATCCTCCATAGAACTGGCTCTTGGCTCAGGATGACAGCATGGCCTAGCAAAAGGCAGGTTCACGCACATTGGCACACCACCACCACCAGGATCTGCTTGGCCCATCTGTGTAGCTGTGCAGGGTCCCCACCAGGGCAGGTTCTGGGTGCAGTGAGGAACATTTGCAGAGGGTATGCGGTTGTGAGAGCAGCCCAGAAGTCCTTCCCTGATCCGTCAGGCCACTAAAGTGCTGTCCTGCACAGTGTGCCTGGTGGCAAGGAGTCCCGGGATCTGGGGGCTGAGGGAGGCCGCTGGTCAGTCCTGGAGTCCACTCACAGGTCTTTCCCCACAGCCTTGCAGTGGTCCCTCCTTGAGGTACAAGCAGGAGCAGGAAGGTACTTGCCTCTCGGCCTGGCACAAGGTTCTCATGCAAGCTTGCCATTGGTACCAGAAGTATGCACTCAGCAAAGTCTTACCCTGCAGAGGCAGGCGGGGATTGTGAGCGCTACCTACCCATTGTCACCTCCTGAGCCTGTCACACACACATAGGAACAGTGACATACTATCCCGGCTTCAGTTCCCAGCAGCCATTCTGCCCAGGGTTCAGCAGGGGCTGGCATCATCGCTGCTCAGCTGGGGCCTTCTCTAGAGTCCTCTGGCCTGACCGTGCCTCTCTGTTCCTCCTCTTGCAGTACGAGTACAGTTTCCGCACGGAGCAGAGCGCAGCAGCACGGCTCCCACCCAGCCCTACCCGGTGCCAGCAGATCCCCCAGTCGTGAGGAGCCCACAGCCTCATGGGGGAGAAGACGTCTCCTACCCGGTGCCCAGACTACTGATGGGGTGGCTGGGGGGAGAGTTACTCCCTCCCCCACCTGCCCATTCTGCTTGCCCTCCCCACTGACCAAGAGACTCTGGGCAGCTGTGTGGTCATATACGGTCATCAGCTTGCCTAACAAGACTCCCCTGCCTCCCTGGGAACGTTGTTTGTGACTAATGTATGTGCTGTTAGTGACCAGAGGCTCCTAGCATACCTGTGTGATGACCACTTACCCCACAAAGAAAGAAGAACCCTTCCCTACCTGGAGTCACCCATGAGGGCCCGGGCACATGTTCCAGCGGCCCAGTGATGCCCACTGGCTCCCTTCAAATGACCATCACCCACTCTAAGAATCCCACAAAGCCACTGTCGCCCTCCTGGAAGACTCCAGGGTTGACTGCATCACATAGGACCCTGCAAGATGCACTGCTCACCTCTGACCCAGGCTACCTGAGAACAAGCATTCCTGTCAACAGGTTCAAGTGGCCCATGCATTTCATGATGACACTGAGAAAACAGGACTCTGCTTCACTCCAGACAACTGTGGACTCTTCCGCCAATGCACACACTGGATGTCCAGAGAGCACAGATGGGACTCCGCTCTCTGTGGAGGTAACTGGGTGCCTACCTGGACAGAAACTTGGCTGCTAGGGTGCTGGGCCTGGCCACAAGCTCCAATCCCCACAAAGGGCTCATCTATGGAGCATCCACCTGCCAGCAACAGCCTCCATATGCCTCTGCCTGGTGCCCTGACCTGGTGGCGACTGACACAGAGCATGCTCTGAGAGGCATGGTACCCAGCCCTGCAGGGACACAGCACAAGGGCACCAACTCCTCTCAGCCAGACCCACCCACAGTCCAGAAGGCACCTCCTACCAGGGATCTGCTGTTTTGAAAAGTCCCTATGTCCCAGGCCTCTGAATTTTGCCTAGAACATTTCATGGGTGTCCATCTGAGGTGCCAAGTTCAACTCCACATGTGTTGCCATGAAAATAGTGGCCACTACTGTCCCAGCTCTCAGCCTCACGTGATGCACTGCTTTGCCATATTTGGCTATTAGGATTTGTCTGACATTGGTCCCTGGAGTGTCTGTGGATGTGAAGGTGTGCACAGTGGTCAGTAGCCATAGGCAGCTACACTCCAGTGGGTACAAACCTCTCCAGTTACAGCTCCAGAGAGCCACAAGCAGCTGAGTGGCCAAGGTGCAAAAGGATCAGCAGCAAGAACCAGCCGACAAGATGGAGTGAGCCAGGGCAGGGCCAAAAATACCTCACCAACCTCCATCAGCCCCTCAGCTCCTCAGGTCCTTTGTGGCCCACCCTCTCTCCTCAGTCAGCCTTCTCTGCTTGATGGTACTTCATTTCTGTGTCAGGAATGGTCACCTTACCTTCTCTCAGATTTGAGCACACCCTGTGGGGTACCCATCAACCCCCGACTCTGGGTCCCACAGCCTCTAGGCAGCACAGGCCATGAAAAGGTAGTTAACTCAAATGCCGGTGTCCCAGAGGCCTGTGGGGTCAAAACCTATGCCACACTGGTGCTCAGGAGAGCTGATGAACTGTCCCCCAGACCGCTCCATAAGCTGGGGACCTGAGGACCTGTGTCTACTGCTCCTGGTGTAACACCAAGTGGCCCAACAGAGAAGCGAGCACTCATAGCCTGAGTTAAGTGGGAAGGTTGGGGGTAAAGCTCCAGCGTCTCCTGGCCACTTCCTTTACGCTTGCGCACATTGTCTTATCACCTCTTTCCATTTCCCAGTTGTGAAATTGTCCCTACCAAGTGATGCCAGGTGGTCCTCCCCCTTCCTTCCCTTGATGGAGAATGTGGCTTCCCTGAAGCTCTTACAGGCCCTGGGCGTTCCAAGGTGAAGACAGTGGACCCTTTGTCGGTAATCAAAAAGGCCAAGTGAAGAGGTTCCTGGAGGAAGGACGCAAGCTCTGCAGCCCCCTCACGCCCTCCCACAGGACTCTGCCACTGGGCCTCGGGCTCTGCAGCCCACTCACGCCCTCCCACAGGACTCCGCCACTGGGCCTCGGGCTCTGCAGCCCACTCACGCCCTCCCACAGGACTCCGCCACTGGGACTCAGCCTCTGCAGCCCACTCACGCCCTCCCACAGGACTCCGCCACTGGGACAAGAGCAAACTGCATGCTCTGAGCTGGAGTAACCTCGGGACATGGCAGACTTAATTTAAGAATAACCTTGACTGTGAATGATGTAGCGTCAACAGCTTCTAGCTTTTGAAGTGTTAAGGACAACTTGGTGTCTGTTGTAAGTTTTAGGTTGCACCAAACCCCTGGTTTCTTGTCTTCTGGCAGTGGTAGTGGTGGTGTGTGCACACCCTTGTTCACCTTGTGTGGACCCAGCACAGATCCAGACCTAGGAGACGGGGCTGCGGCTCACAGCCTTTTGTGTATGGTGTGGAACGCTTGTCCGCACGACCCCTGGCCGCTGTGCGATGAGCACACAGAACCCTGGGAGGGGTGAAGAGCTGCAGCCTCTCCCTTAGGTCTCCTCCTCCCCCACCAGCATGTCCCACAGCTGCTGCTGTCCCTGCCAAGCACACGTCTTTCTCTTGAAAAGGCTAACCAGAGCACAGCACCCTACCCCACAGTCCCCACATTGAAAAGTCAGTTCCTTCCTAAGGGCCTTGGAAGTGGCACATGGGTGATGAGCAGGGGGAGGTGGGCTCCAGGCTCACTCGCAAATTTATCATAAGGCCAAGTCTAAGAATTCACATCAGCCTCACTCACCTTGGGAAAAGGACAGGTCAGAGTCATGAGTATTCTTCCTGGTGGTCAGTGGCATGTGGCCACCTGTGACCATGGCCATTCTGCAGGAAGCAGCTGATGACCCTCTGCCAGAAGGACACATACACAAGGGGACCGAGATACTGAGCTCACCCCCTTCCTTCACTGGGCACTAGACCTGGCAGACTTAAGCACATCTCCTGTCATCCCCAAACAAGCCCAGCACTGGGTGCTCTTTGTCCCCTGTCACATGAAGAGCCTGGGGCATGTCTGTAAGCTTGCCAGTAGCAGGGGCAGAACCTGACCCCAAAATCCCTGTGCCAACCATCTGGCCTTTGTGCCCATCCCTGTGATGGGCTTTCTTTTGCTATGGATTCACCTCACCATGGCAGTGGATCCTGGGCACAGGTCAGGCTGAGAGCTCATCCTGTGCCTCCTGTGACCCGAGGACCCCCCAGCCTCTGAGCATGTCTCCTGCTGCGGTCATAGGAAAGGCCTTGATGTGCCGCCAGGCCGTGAAGTGCCGAATTCACGGAATCGCTCTGCGTCCCTCTGACCCCCAGAGCCTGATGAAGAAGCTGGGCCCTCGTTCCTGTACCCAGCTCCCTCTCAGGTGGCGAGGCACAGCAGAGCGGCCCGGCTTCCCTTGCTCTGGGTGGAAGGTGGAGCAGCCATCAGCACCAGTCCAGGCTGTTTCCCTTCAGAGCCTGTGAGCTGCTGGGCCACTGTGTGGCGCTGGGAACGAGGACCTTAGGCCCAGCTGCCTTCCTGTGTATTTATTCAAGGTGACTGCTTGGCAAAGGGGGTTTCACTGTGTGGCTGTATTCTTAATATAATTTGTTAAATAAATGTTTGTTTTAACCTCTTTTCCCCAGTTTGCTGTTATTTTTAAAGCCAGCAGAGGTCAGTGTCCCTCAGGGGAGGCCTTCTGGCCAGCTGCAAGCTGTCTGCCCTGCTTTCCAGGGCTCCTGAGGGCCAAGTGGTCACTACCTTCACTTTTCAGATTTCTAGAAAGAGCTGGCAGGTGGCTTGAGGGTTTCGGTACCACCGACATCCTTGACCCTCGGAAGCTCCTGAGAGAAATCCCAGTTGCTATGAACAAGACCCCAGTAGAATACAGAGGGCTCTTTTGTCTCCTGCCGCCCTGTCCTGTCTCTGGGCCTCAGCGGGTTGGGATGCAGCTTCCCTGCTTTGGGCCTGTCCTAACTGCTCACCCGCTCGCTGCAGGATGCCACCTGCAGAGATGGCTCAGGGTCCCACACACACAGTCCTAACTGCTCACCTGCTGCAGGATGCCACCTGCAGAGATGGCTCAGGGTCCTACACACATTCGAGGTTCCCTGTCCTTATCAGTGCCCTGCCTCCCCACCCCTGGCTGTGACTTCTGCATCTCTAGGATCCACCTCACAGCCTGACTGGCTGCCTGCAGCTCAGCACACACCAACCTCAGTGGGAAGGAGCTAGAATGGTGACCTTTGACTCACCACTCCTCTCCTGGGCTCCTGGAAACTTAGGGGCACCTGCACACTTGTACCCTTGACTTCCCAAACCCAGCCTCCTATCTCGAGTCTTTTTACCACAAAGCAAAGTCTCCCCCTCACCCCCCATCCCCGACACATATACGCATCTTTGAGGGAAACCAGGTCTGAGTTCTGGTTCTGACTGCAGGCTCCTTCATCTGACAGAATGATGGTTGCCCTCCCTCCAGAGTTCCCTCTGGAAGATGGAGTGAGGTCAAGCATGTTGAGCACATTTCAGAGGCGGAGTGACATGGAGGCCTCTCTCTGGGGCAAGGACAATTTGCCAGTTAGCTACAGAGTGCAAGGCACTTGGGAAGAAAATGCAAGTAAGACCTTAGTCACAGGAGTCCTCTGCACCACTTGGGAAAGACAGAATGAGCCCCAGTGCCCAGAGCCTGTTCACCCGATGTGCCCACATGCCCTCCAACCTAGACCAAAGTTGGCGAGGTGACCAAGCCAGAAACTCGCTCAGGGAGCCCAAGCCAGCTGCTGCTGCCCCACCTCACTGATGGGCCTCATCAAACCACCATCTGGGTACCTGAAGTCCCCGCCTCTCCCCCACGGCAGTTTATATGATTCCCACAAGCAGATGGGCGCAGTTATAATTTGGATTTCAGATGTCCTCCAAAGGCCGTGATAAAGTCATAGTTGCCAGTTAACAGGCTTCTCAGACATGATCGTAAGGCTCTGACGGTAGCCGTGGCTACCTCCACTGGTGTGATTATGATTTGATGAGCCATTGGAGGCGACAGAAAAAGAGTAAAGGAGTGAGACTTAGTTGACAGGACTCCATCCTTGGGGCTGCCCTTGGTACCATCTCCTGTCCCCACCCCTCCCCATCTCCTCCCTGCTTCCTGGCCACTGTGGAGTAAGCAGCTCTCCCCAGTCTCCCCAGCCCGAAGCAACAGAGTCGAAGACTATGACCTGAAATCCCTGAGAGTCAACAGACTTCCGATGGTTAAAGTTGATCTTCTCGGGTATGTTACCATAGCAACAGAAAGTTAACATGGACTCCAAGATTACAGTCTTGTAATCAGTTATAGCTGAAGCCCCAATCTCATCCCAAATGCAGAGTCCCAGGGCCTACAAAGTCAGCTGGGAGACAATCCTTATCTGATGCTAGCGTGCTTCTTCCCTGGCCTCCGCTCTCTTCCCTGGCTTGCGACCACCCTTAGCAGCCCTCCCCAGCAGAAGTGAGGCACACACCCCGCCTTCCTCGAATTCATCTTCCCAGCAGGCCCTTCCACTCCCACTGCGCCCTAAGAAGGAAGCCTGAGCCCTCCAGAGTCCCTGTCCCCCTCCCAGATCCGACTCACTTCTCCCAGTGGCCCTGCTAGATGACATGTGATCCCCACCTGACTCTGAGATGCCTCCTTGTCTTGGCTTAGTCTGTTCTTTCTACCTAGGATGCATCTCCCCTACTTCTGCCTGGTAAACTCCTCTTCACCCTTCAAGACCCTCTGCCTTGCCCCACTCTGCAGCAAAGGTATTGGTTCTCCATCTCAAGCGACCTGAACCTACCACAAGTGCCCACACGTCACTGAACTGCAGCCACTGGATGCTCTCATTTGGTAGTGTATCCCAAGAGGAGGGGGCCATGCCCTGTTTATCATATCCTCCCCTGCCACAGGAGTGGGCAGGGCCAACGGGGGAGAGGTAAACAGACGTGAGAAGTCAGGGAGGGATGGACTCCAGTGGTACCATGAGGTCCTTCGGTGGCCTCTCTGCACTAGTCTTGATGTGTCCAAAGGAACCAGAAATGGGTCTCAACAGGTTTGCCCCAGCTCAGGCTTGGCTCCAGGCTTGGCAGGCTTTCGGTGACTAGCCTTGGCTGCAGACGCTCCCTGGCAGCCTGTTCTGGGGAGAAAGACAATCGAAGGTTAACGAAGCACAGAACCTAATCTAAGCCTGCTAGGGACTTGGTTTTCTGGCTCTGTTCTTTCCTGCCTGGCCCTGGTGGAAACTCTTGGCCTTTGGAAGGTGTAGGAAAACAGGGCTGTGGAGGAAGGGCATTAGCCAGCAACCTTCCCAGCAGGTAGGCTGGACCCATGCTCCCACCTCCCCTCTCCCACACCTCAGGCTCGGGAGCTGTGGCCAGACAGCAGGCCTTGGGAATGGTTCTGAGAGTCTGGACCCCCTGACTGGGGACACAGGGGCAGAGGCTGCACAAGGTGAACGAATGGACAAGACATGTCCATCTCCCACTCTCTTCGTCCATAGGACTGAGGCTAAACCATTCAACCCCAGCCACCACTGGGCGTCTCGAGAGTTCCTCACACTCATGCACCAGACCCACCCCAGGAGATCAAACAACAACCTCTTCGGGGGCAGTGAGTTCCAGGAGATCCCCTCCAGCGCCCCCCTCCACAGGTGACCTCAGACTGCAGCTCTGACGGATGTCTAAGCCAGGCTTCCAACACTTCCCCAGGGTTGTGGTTTGGATCTTCCAAGCCCTCAGAAGCCCACAGCTTGGTTGCCAGCATGTGTAGGACCTTCAGGAAGTCAGAGGAAGCAAGGTCATCAGCGGTGTGCCCCTGAGAGAACTGTGAGCTTCCCACTCTCCCCTACCCACCCCTTCTTACTCTCACCACTTCTTGGTTCTCATGAGGCAAACAGACTTCCTCTGCCAAGGCATCCCTTCCCATAATAGGTCCCAAGCAACGGGACCAAGGCAGGAGGAACAGGAGTTTGGGACCAGCCTGAGCTACATAGTAAGTTCTAGACTACTTGGGGAATTAGGTAAGACCTTGTATCAAGAAAACAAACAGGAGGAGGCATCCACATTAGGTAGCTCACAGCCGCCCCTAACTTCAGCTTCAGAGCATCCAACACCTCTGGCCTCTACAGGCATCTCCACGTGTATGCGTGCATGCATGCACGCTCACCAGCGCACACACGCGCGGACATACATACACACACACACACACAAAAAAAATCTTTTAAAAACACTGGATCTGAGGATGTAAGTCAGTGAGAACACTTGCTTAGTATGGGTGATGCCATGGGTCCAATCTTCAGTACCACATAATAATAATAATAATAATAATAATAATAAACACCAGTATCACAAGTAATAATAACAATAATAAAAGAAAAATAAACATGGGGCTGGAGAGATGGCTTAGAGGTTAAGAGAGCACATAATCTCTTGCAGAAAACCTGAGTTTGGTCCCCAATACCCATGTCAGCTCACAACTATGTAACTCCATCTCTAGGGGATCTGACACACTTCTGACCATTAAGGACACCTGCCCAGATACGCATATACTTACTTTCTCTCTCTCTCTCTCTCTCTCTCTCTCTCTCTCTCTCTCTCTCTCTCTCTCTCTCACACACACACACACACACACACACACACACACACACACACACACACACACACAAAAATAATATATAAGAAAAATAAAGAATAGTTAACGATCTCTTTCCACACCCTCAAACTATAGACCAAGGTACCGTGAGGCTGAGTTTACTCCTGCAGCTGCTGCGTGGATCCCAAGTGTCATCCAAAGGCCCTTGTGCTGCAGGCTTGCTCACTGGGGTCGCACTCTTGGGAGGTGGCAGATCTGTTAGGAGATGAGGCACAGTAGGAGGTCTTCGGGTCACTGGTCAGAGTGGACAGTGGAAGCCCGGCCCTCCCCTTTATCTCTCTTGCTCCCGTCCATCCCTGAGGTAAGAGGCTCTGCTCTGCCCTGTGTTCCTGGTGTGATGTGCCCGCACAAAGCACAGCAGCAAACCTCTGGACACTGATGGAGAACTGAGCCACACAGGAAACAACAGGCCTTTCCTGGCACATCTGTCTCTAGAACACAGGAGGAAGAAGGTGGCTCAGTTCATCTTAAGTTGGTTCAAGCCAAACAAGGACAGTACACAGAAGTCAGAGGCCTGTTTGGCCTAGGAGTCGGAGAACAAAATTTTCCATGAGATATTATATAAACCTGAATTCACCTGCATATTCAAAAATAATTATGACAAGTAGGGATTATCTCAAGAATGTAAGAGGGACTTAAGGGATGCCACCACAGTTAGGGACGGTTGTTACTCTTGCAGAAGACTCAGCTTTGTTCTCAGCACCCACACTGTCATTCACAATCATCCATAAGTCTATTTCTACAGGATCTAATGTCTTCTGACCCCTAAGGGCACCAGGTATGTATGTGGTACACACACATACATGCAAGCAATACAATCATACACACAAAATTAAAATTTTAAATGCCATTTTCAACAACGGGTGGAGAGATGCCTCAGCGGTTAAGAGCACTGGCTGCTCTTACAGAGGACCCAGGTTCAATTCCCAGCACCCACATGGTGGCTCATGTTCTAGGGGACCCAATGCCTTCTTCTC